TCTGTACATCTCATCGCACGAGATGAACGGAAGGGGTGATTACTTCACGGATCTCTTCAGTATAGTTAGCACGAGGAAAATGTTCTCCGGGAAGCGAACGAGGGGAGTGGTTGTATAACATCCAGTTCAGTAATTGAACTGTCCAAGAACGAGATGGGAGCGCTTCGCAACACCGTTGCACGATAGGGATCAGTTAGTGAGATATTACGAAATTGCCCTCCATATTGCAATACTTATCGGCACATCGTTTGCGCGCGCGGAAAGTCGCTCCGTGCCCGATAAATCACGTTCAATCTCTTTTGTGCCGAGACTCACACGCGAATGGAGACTCTTTCGAACAGGAGGGTGGAATCTCCGTTTTGCAATTTAGATCGACGACATGGCGCGCGAACCTTATTTCGCTCGTACACGGGTCGTCAGACAAGCGGGGAGATTATTCAATGTCGACGTGTTTTTAAACCGTTTCTCACAAAAAAAGTCCAATACTCGATAAAAGTTGAAGTGATATACATCGATTAAAAAAAAAGTCTAAGCATGTTTATCTACTTTTCTCCTTCCAAAACAGTTAAAGTACATCACTATACATATAATTACGAATAATTTTGCAGCTATAAATTTTGACATATTAAATATTTTGAATTTATCGAGTAATTCACAATTTTAGAAATTATTTTTATCATATAATATTAAAAGTTTATTTTAGGTTATACATATATACGGAAAGAACGATTTTGCTGAAATACCTAAAATTTAATTAAATATAAATGATTGAGATCTGAAAATAATTTGATTGGAAAATAATTATGTAAGATGTTAATTGCTAGATTATTATACTCAGGGTTGGGTAGTGCTAAATTAAAAAGATAAATGTTAAGTTAAAAAGTTAGAAAGTTAATTAATTTTAACTTAATTTAGTTACATTTTAGACTCTGAACTTTTTAATTTTATTTAGTTACATTTTATCCGTAACTATTAATTTTTTATTTAATTTTTTGAAGTTAAGTCTCAGATATAATACGCGGCAATAGCGATAACTTAAAATGAGGTGAAAGTTGCAAAAATAAGCAAATTTATTAGGTGTTGACCAGTGAAATTATAAATATTCTAGTGAATTTTCTTACTTTTGTAATTTTCACCTCGTTTCAAATTACACAATCAACCCCTAGATTTCAATCTGTCAGAAACCGTGTATTTCGATGTATCCAGTTTCTAATAGGTTGAAATCTATTATTCCTTATTATTATCGCTACTCCCTCGTATTGTGTCTAAAGCTTTAATCATACCACAGATCAGTATTCACAATCGAATCTTATATACTAAACAGTACATATAAACAAAACATGTAAAAAATAAAATATAGAATATTTTCTAAATAAAATATATATTTGTCATTTCCATTATTTGTAAACTGAAATCTAGAATCATGAATTTAATATATATATATATATATATATATATATATATATAAAAAAAAATTTAACTTTTAACTTTTCAATTATTTTTTTTTTATTAACTTAACTTTTAATTCAATTAATTCCATTATAAATTAACTTGTATCTTAACTAAGTTAAATTTTCAATTTTGTTAACTTTAACTTAACATAGTTAAAGTAAAAAAAAATTAACTTACCCAACCCTGATCATAACTTCTACAATAATCATGATCCATATCATTGAGTATCCTAATTATTTTGATAGTCCAATGTAATTCTTTTTTATTTATTTCCAGCTAAATTTTATACAACAAAATCGTTGTTCCTGTATAGTGATTAAATCAAATCATACATATATATATATATATAGTACTAATACTTCTAAAAATTTGATACAAAATTACAAAATTTGTACTTAATTACTTATTATATTTTCATCAGCCCTACATTGATCTAAAGTATCTTTAATCAATATCATTAGATCATTGATAAAGCCAACATAATTTTTCTGCAAAAATCATCTTCCTCAGATGCGTGCGGAATGAAAGGACGCGTGAAAGACTTCGATCTCGTTAAAGGGGCGTCACACAAACATAATTATCGTAGTGTCCGCCATCTAATTAACGCGGACGTCGATCGAACGCGTCGACGCCGTCTCCAAAATCTCGCCACTTTGTATGCGGTCGGTCGAACAGTACGCGGCTCTACATTGCCGGTTCAAAATAATTCAATTTCAATGGCGGTAGCTAATTTAATTGTCTCTCTCGCGCGCGAGCGCGATAATATCGCGCGCACCATGCGACGAATTCTAATCGCGCGCTTTCCGTGAGCGAAATCGCGCGACAACGAAAGGCAGAGCGTAATGTAACGCCATTACATTAACGTCATCCCTGTAATCTCGTTCCACCCCAACACATTCGCATGTCATATACTGGAAGTCTCAGCATCCATTCGAATTTCTTAGACAAATCTCACCCAACTAGAATAATTAGCCCTCAAATACTCACAATTGTCATTCCTACGTATTTATTTCCTTCGAAATCCAGGAACATCTAAATAATGATCTTTATCTTTTCCATTCTTATTTTAAATACTCCATTTTTATTTTATTACATTATACAAATTACACTCACAAATTTACGAATATTTTCTACAGATGTTCAAGTTATATGTAAAAATTATTTTTATATATTATAAATTTAATAATTTTTATATATTTGTAAACGTAATCAATTTGATAAAAATTAACATCGGACACAAACGACTTATCTTCTATAATAAAGGACCGAAAAAAATTATCGTATGTATTAAGAATTAATTTTTTTTTAAGCATTTGCTTATAGTTGGCTATTTTCCAGTTAGGACACGCTTAACATTGTATTATACTGTATAAACAGTATAAAGTATACTTGTTGAAACACAGTTTAGTTTCACAGTTTAATACTAAAATGTATTATACATAGACTTTCATTCTTGTTTTTATAAGTATTCAGAGTATCTATAATAAATTTATGATCTTAATTTAGACTTAAGTTATAAATCTTTTAGGAATTTATTACAAATTTTATTACAAAATAAGTATGGCTACCAAATAACTCTTAAAGGTTGATAACATTGACATATTTTATACCTTGGTTTATACCTTGGAAAACAGCCAACATTGTGAATCTTACGTACTTATGTACTTTACCACGCAATTATAGATTACCACGCAAAAGACAATTTAAATATTTTGTATCGCAATTCTAATAAATATCCTAGAATTTGAGAAAAGCAATATTGCTTTTTATATCGAAATATATTTTCCATTTAAAAGTAAAATTCTCTCTGAAAATAAATGTAGATGTTAACCGTAAACTTGCATTTTTAAAAATCTAATTTGCAATTGTTCTTTAACACTTGTCCCACGCAGCCGTGAGTCAGAATATTTACAAGCTATTTACATAAAGTACCACTTTCTGTTCTGTTTATTTCAGGAGAGATTAATCTTTTTGTTAAAACAACCAAATGCATTAGTCAGGCACATTTACTATACTATACAGTACACTTTTTGCAGAAAACTTCAAATACCTCTTTCAAGCTAAGCTTTCAAACCAGATATTTTAAAAGTGTCTGTTTGATTTTCCTTTTTGTATTTACATTATTGGAAAATTATTTGCAAGCGTAACTGATTTACGTATATAAAAATAAAATAATCTTTACAATCATCGATAAAAACCATATTATGTAATCCTGATTATTACAAGAGAGGGGATTGAAATATTTTTCTTCACTTAAAATGGACCTTCGCAGAGGGAAAGTTTTACTGTAAATCAGGGGTATAGCATCAAAGCACACCAATACATGCGGGCGTATATAAAAAGCTCGTGGTCACGAAAAGGCAAAGAAAAACGGGATGGACGCGCAACGATGGGAACGCAAAGCATAATGAAGTTCGGTGTAATCCAGGAAAATCTCCTCGTGAAAGAAATCTGTAAAAAATATGAAAAGCAAATGCACGATAAATACGAAATAGAAAGAGGCGAATGAAAAGCAGAGTTTTTTTTAGAAAAACCGCTCATTGTTTGCATTATCATCCCCCATTCACCCAATATTCTCGAAAAATAACAAATGACTTGATAAGCGAAAACCCTAGAAGGTTTTGCAATGCATATAAAATGAGAAGCAATGGGCTTTCTTCAGCTTTCGTTAGATAGATAAGTAAAGTCACGATAGAGAACATAAAGGCTATCTCATTACACAGTCGAATTCCGGACGCTCACCATTACGCGTGTGTCGATTGCAAGGGCGTTTAATTTAACGGCGTTCTCGCTTGCGGAATTTTCGCATCGCGAATTACGACCGGAAGTAAACGGAATGGATCGTAACCAGCGGCGAATCCCTTCACTCAGCGATTTCACTAATTTTCACAGAACTCGCACTTACTTCTACGTTTAGTTTGCTTATCGTCGAAGTTGCTCCATTCAGTCGAAACGACATTTCCATCGACGTTAAATTATATTGATAACAATGTACTTTTATAATAATAAATATATTTTTATAAATAAAAGGACTGTACACAATATGTAATCGATTAAAATTGAGTTATATCCTAAATCTTTGTTACTTTTGATGGAGTGATATTTAAAAAAAATTTGTTTATTTTAAGAAGGAAAATCTAATATGAAAACTAATTCCTTTAAAAATCTAATTTTTACATAAAACCATTAATAACATCTTAATAACGTTAGTTTTTAATCTCAGTTAAAAAAATTTCTTTTTCAAATTCTTTTATCAAAGTTTATTCTACGTATCGTTCAAAGTTTACGTACCGTTAGAAAAGGTGCGAGAGTAGTATACTTCAACCCCAAACACTTATCAAACTTCAACTCAACTTTCTTTATAGTATTTCGGCTCCAACAGCAACAATGGTACCTCTTCAAGAACAACAATAAGAGCTCGATAACCGCATGTTTTGACGCATTCTCCACAAGTTTCGTCCCTCTCTCTTCCCTTTTCCTTTTTCAGTTAAAAGACAGTGGGTCAAGCGCACGCGTTGTTCCACGGGACAATGAAATGCTCAAAGATCATGACGAAGGAACGCGAATTGAATATCCCGAATGGTCGAGGAGTTAGTAAACTCTTCGTGCTGCTTCCTTTCGCCGAGATTAAACGATTCCTGGTCTGGCAAGCAAAAGCGAAGTACCGGATAGGGGATAGGTTGGTTGAAAGGAGTTCACGTGACGCCTTAACTGGTTTCGGCTTATCTCCGAGTTTCGTCGTATTTAGGGAAAACACGAGCACGAGCCCGCAGGATCGTTAAGGAAAGTTACGCGGAGGGTACAATGCCAGGACGCGTCTTTGAAGTAACAATGGTAAATGTAGTTTGCTGACAGTTCTCCGTCTGCCTTTGCGAGTCTTTCTCTCCCTTCTCTTCATCCCCCTCGCGACTATTTCGTCCTTTTCGCAGTCGAGTCTCTCGGCTCTTCAGTTGCCACCTTTCCTTTGCGAATCCGGTTACCACCCACGAACAACAACATCATGGTTTTACTGTTGTTTTTAATAGCAAATTGCACCAAGTGCAGTTGGGTGTTGTATTTAAAGAGTTCTCAAATAAAATAAATAAATTGAATAGATCAAAAAGATATTGTAATCGATTTGATTAGTCTGATGATTTGATTAGTCTGAAAGATACAAAAATTAACTCTCTCCGCGTTAATAACATAAGTTTTAATTTTTCCATCCAACAATAGAGATTTTCGGAAAACGGAGCAAATTTTTTTATTGTTCCGGATTATAGAAAAATCTAAAAAAATCTCTTTTTTATATACCTGTCAAAGTTTTAACGAGTTTTTACTATCATAGAAGTCGGATTATATTTTACAATTTTTTTACGGATTTAAATTTATCTATCAAAATTCACAATCAAAACATCGATGGTGCAGCCTTTAAAGACTCTGACAGAAAAAGTTTATAATACTTTTGGATTTGTCAAAATTTAGAAATTAATTTCTCACATCTATAATTTAGAAAATGTATTTCCACGTTTTAACTATTCAAATGTTTTGTTCCTCGATTTATTGCTTTTCGGAGGCTGAAGATGTCTCGATTCCATCGTTGTATCGCGCTGTTCGTAATTCTACGCACCGTGCCGTTGTATTATCGGCTTGACTTAGTTGCAGTCTGAGCGAAAGAAACTTTTACACGCCAAAGTTTCCTTGACGATACACCGATTCCGTGCACGACGTGCGTTGCCTATGTATTGCACCTCGGTACGCGTTGCTGTCGGAGACGCCGTTAATTATGAACTCGATAACTCGTATATCTGGAGCAACGGTCGGAAATTTTGGGAGTTGGGTGAAACAACACGCGCAGAATCGATTATATCGGATAATCGATGTTTACGCGCCGACAAGTTGCTAATCTCGCGTAAGAAAATCGTTTTCATTGATGTTATATACGATGCTGTGCTAGAATATTGAGGAAACAAAAGCGATAATTTAGTCTTCAACTTTAAAAATGTGTTAATAATCGTGCACGTTTATATAGAAAGGATGGATTTCATGGTAAAATGCATTTTTTTCGTGCAAAAAAGGATAAATGTTCACTGGTCAATTAATCGCGGTAATTTTATGCAAAGTTAAGTCAATGTTGGGCAGCCAATGAGAGCTATAAGTCTCACGGAGAATCGCTTCGTGGCCGGTGAATTCCATTATAAGCACGCGGTGTAACGTTAATTTTTATGGCTAGTGAAACTTCCTCTTTACGTTCCTCCGATCGTTTCCCCGCGCACCAGTTTTTTCCCCGGCTGATTTATTATTTTCTCCTAAGCACTTGGTATCGGTGGTGCTTAACTCTGTTTTACGGTGGCTCGAATATCTGTAAAATTTCCCCAGAGAATCGTGTGATTCAAATAAAAAAAAACCCATAAATTAATCCCTCTCTTTTTTTCTTTTTAGTAGTAATTAATAGAAAAAAAGAGGTTACGGAAAATAGTTCGATAAACGGACTCTTAGTTTCAGTGATTTAAAAAAATAACGAAGCGGAAAATAACAAACTTTTTTCTATTAGAAAACGTTAAAGGAAGAAGAAACATAATACAATTACACAATATGAAAAACTGGACTTTATCTATTTCCACTGTACTGACATTAGAAAGGCCTTTTCTAATATTTTTTATTCATTTATGCCTTCACTAAAAGGATATAAGATACTGCTGGATGTATACTGTAATACTGTATATACGTAATTTGCCGCAAACGTTACATGCAATTGCTTTTAAATGTGCAAAAAATATCGCAGCATCCGGCATACAAATATGTAAAGAATGGAACGAAATTTGAGGGAATATTAAATGCGGCGGTCGGCTATCGCATGCCAAGCGAAGCGAGTCGGATGTCGAGTCGCAACTGCCTGAACTACCTTAAATCTCGCGCGATCCTAACTCCCCGCATTGCACGCTGCCTCGTTGTTTTAATTTGTTGCCTCAGACGACGCTTCGGGAGCTGCGGTAATACCGCTTTCGACTTATTTGCATTATCCGGCGTCCGAGCGGCGTAATGAAACGCTCTTTTAGAGGGAGAATGGAGAAGCAAGAATCTATAAGGCTTAATCGGATTCGCTTGGCTCCGAATGGCGTTGATCTTGCCGTATACTCGAAAAAAAATTCCAATCGGCTTAATTGCTTATATATATATATCCTGCCTATATGCTCGACGTCCTGGAAAAGATGTTACAATACAGATGAACGCTTCAATCGATTTGGGCAATACTTTTCCTGAAGAATGTTTTGTTTAAAAATTTAATTTATTCAGATAAGTTTTTGATTAGTTATATGGATTATCGGAACTTCAAAAATACACCAAGTTTTATTCCCTTTGATTTATATTTCGTTTTTTGGAAGTAATTAGCTGTTATTATAAGTAAACCTATAATAATGCAATATTTTTCTTTTAGCATTTTTAGAAGTTCAGTCTATAAAGATTAAAGTAGATTTAAAGTAGAGAGAACTTTGTTAAAAAAAAAATTAGTTTTGTATTTTAAAAAATATAATTCCACTGTCTACTAGGTATCTTAAAACTTAATATTCATTAATTCTATAAATTGAATTCTTTATCTCCAAATTATAAAGATTCCTTCCAATCAAATTCGTTGACTAAATAAAAGATTATCTTTTCAAGCTTGTCGAAATGTCTAATATTGAATTTTCCATCCTTTTTAGGATACCTTTGTACCTTGCGATCGTTCGTCAAATGCGGTGAATGTAGTGCAAACGTCCGAGTGAGTTTCGTCGCGCTTTCTAGTCCATGGCCTTTGTTCCGCAGCTCGTCTTCCGCAATTTGCGTTTCACAGCTATTCTCTGCACTCTCTCCTCTCCCTATCCGCTGACAACTCTCCCTCTTTACCTTTCCTACCCCGAATATCGACGTCTAATGGAGATGTCTCGACGCCGCATTCTGTTTATTCAAATTGCTTAGTATCCAGTCGCACCCTTCGAATGAAGCACTTAACGATGCTAAGACTCAGATCAATATCTCAAATCTCTGTTGAACTTTTCAATCGCATTTTGTTAAAAGATGTACAAATGTAATAACATGTGTCGTTACGAGAAAAGCTTTAGTTAGAGATTATAGTTAATAATATTGCAAGAAGTTTGAAAAACTGGCAAAGCTTATGCTTTCAATTAATAAATCATAAGAAATGAATGGATCCAAATAACAAATTTATTATTTATCTCCTTAATTCAAAAATATTAAGTAAACTGAATATTAGATAAATTGAAGTAGATAAATTGATAATAATATAAAATAAGAAAATAATATAAATTGCATTGCAATATTTCCGATAAGATCTCTGCTAAATAAAAATGTACTGTCCCGATTTTGCAGCCAGGTTTTTCGCTCTCTTTTTGGTCTAGCAATAAAACTCTTCATAGCTATGAGCCAAGTTTAATTCTTACCGTTATAACGTGCATATAATTTTTTTCCGTTGAGCAAACATTCAGTCTTTTTTCTTCTTGGAAATTGAGGAAATTTGAAACTGAACGAACAGTTGCCATTTTTCTTATTTCGGGAAACAAAAGCGTAAAAATATTGAATATAAAATCTAGCTCACGTCCGTACAAAAGAAGAAAAGAATGATTAAAAGTGTCCTCTTATATGCTAACATAAGCAAATAGAACATAATTAATCGTATCTTGATTGGATTGAACATCAACTTATTAAAATATATTATCATCCCTTTATTTGTATACCCAATATTTTAGGACAGGATTAATTCGCGGAAGTACTACGAAGAATTGTGATACAATTTCAGAGATCGATCAATCAATATGATCGCAGCGGCTGGTAACTGATCTCCAATTGCTTTCATGTTTCATCGATAAGCCCACAGGAATAGTCGGCATCCTCCGGCGACAAGAGGAAGAGAGGAGAGCAGAGAGAAAGGCCGTTTATTCAGCTTTCACGGATCTTGCTGACCAGAACTACGACTGCCGCGTGAGAGCCATCGAGTGTGTCCCGCCCACGCTCGAGAATCCATAGTGTACACAGAGCGATACGCGCATTTACACAGAACCGTAGATCGGGTGGCAGTTCTGTTGCGCTCAGAGAGGACGTTGTAAAAGCTTTATGCTGTCAACGAATCCGTCAAAGGACATCGATACCAACACGATGTCGCTGTCCTCTGAGGCGGGATTTCTAATGTAATACGAGATGCTGACTCAGACATCAGTAATTGTTATAATATTGAAATAATATGCGCACCTGATAGAAATCCATCCGACGTCGAACATATATTAGATATACGAAATTATTTGTCTAATTCGATATAAGTAGTTTGTATTTGATTTCCGCACTGAAAAGAACTAGAGAACTCAAATCTAGAGTCGAAACGTTTGCGTTTACTTAAACTTCGTTGTGAGTTATCCATGTTATAAATATTTAATTTACGCACCAACAAAGGCATTTTATTTTAGTAGATTAATTGAATAAATATACAATCATCTTCGTCTCATTTATCGAGAGGTAAAAAATTGATTATCAACGCGATAAAATATTCGCGAGGTAAGAGAAACACATCGCAGGAAAAGAAACCGAGGAGCCATCGTAATGAGGAAACGCGGGAGATTCTCGCACGAACGAGACGATAGGAGAAATTTAACATTATTTTCTTCACTTCCCTATGGTCGCCGCAGGGCACGCGAGAGACGGAGTTCGCGC